ATTTGTGCCAGAGCTCCCAGTGCCAGGCAGGTTCTGGTTCTGCAGGTGGTGCTCTCTTACCCCCATATTTAGGGGTTACCTTGGCAAAACTGGTGTTCTCCTTTGCTCCAGAGTCTGGAATGGAGGCTGGTAAATTTGGGAAAGGGAGGAGGAAGGGCAGGAATTACAGAAGGTTTGGGGTCCAGCTTGTTCCTAGCCTGTATCCACYCCTCTGTCACACCTTGAGGATGAATGGGATGCCAAAGAGAAATTCACTGAGGAAAACTGGCCAGGTTTGTTGTGCAGCATAAACAAACAACTAAAAAAGTCTGGAAGAAAGGGAAGTTAAGGGTTGAGGTGTCAGACTTCAGAAAAAACATCCACGGAGCAGCAAGGCTGGTGTCATCACCTTTCAGAGCTCTGGGCGAATCTTTATCACCTTCCGTGGAAGAGCTCCACCAGATCCAGCTGAAAAATCCTTCCTGCCTGCATGATGTGGGGAGTTTTGAGGCTGAGCATTCCCTGGAGGGTTTTGAGGTTCAGCAGAAAGGCTTTTGCACAAGGAGTCTATAAAACAAAATGGGCTTTTGATGTGGAAATGGGAGCCAGAAATTCTGAGCTCACTAATTACAGTGAATATTCACCTTCTTGGTGAATATTACAGCTCTCCTCCTGCACAGGCAGGACTGAGGTGCTCTCAGAGGTGATGATCCAGGGAGCTGTAAATGTAAGGAAACGTTGGAAGGAATATTTTCCATCTACAAATTGCATCAGTGACTTTTTATCCTGTGTTTCCAGATATTTTTCTGCCCTGCCTAATTTTGGTTTGGCTTGTTGGCTGCTGCTCTGATAGCTGAAATGTATGGGTGGAGGTTAAAAGGAAGGAGAGGTTAAAAGAAAGGGAATGTTAAGAGAAAGGAGAGGTTGAAAGAAAGGGAATGTTAAGAGAAAGGAGAGGTTAAGAGAAAGGTTAAAAGAAAGGGAATGTTAAGAGAAAGGAGAGGTTGAAAGAAAGGAGAGGATAAGAGAAAGGAGAGGTTAAAACAGAGGTTAAGAGAAAGGAGATGTTGAAAAAAAGGGAAGGTTAAAAGAAAGAGAAGGTTAAAACAAAGGGAAGATTAAAAGAAAAGAAAGGGTAAAAGAAGCTCTTAAAGTACACTCAACCTGGAGTGCCTTCATCTCGTTGCGCATCTTGCCCTCCACTGGAAAGTGGATTTCCCTGCTGACTGCAGTTTTGGSCTGTTTTCCAGGTTTTACTGGACCAAAGGATCCCGTGGCCAGAGCAATGTGACCATCGAGTGGCACATCCCTGCTGGCACAGAGCCGGGCGTGTACCGGCTCCGCTACTTCGGGCACTACAAGAAGAGARTGTCCCTCTTCCGCATCATCACAGTCCCCTTTGAGGGCTCCTCCTCAGCCTTTCAGATCACAGCTCCATAGATCACATTCCCTACAAGAATGGTCTCTTTGAGCACTGGGTTGGACATCTGGGCTGTGCAGGGGTTGGACTTGGACAATTCCTGTGGGTTCCCTCCARCTCCGGATGATTCCACGATGTTCTGGGAGGGTTTTCTCATGGCTGCTGTCCCTCAAGTGCTGCTGGGTGTCCTTTTGCTGTGCAAAGCTTGACTTCCTGGGAAGTTTTGTCTTTCCCTGCTGTCCAGTCTCCTCCTGTGTCCTCAGTCAAGTGGTTCCCRTCCTGGCCAGACCTGGTGGCAGCTGATTCTCATTGCAATAAAAGATGTAACTTCTCTTTCAGCCTGAAACCTATGCCTGTGGATGGGGAATAAGCTCTCCTGGTGTGAAGTGGATGGGAATCAGTAAGAACTGAATTTATGGGTTAAAGCTGTGGGTGAKGCAGCTCTGAACAGACCCCAGCCTGCTTTGGTAGAGTATCAGGAAGGACCCAAGGCCAGCAGGATGAAATGTCACCCAGAGTCACCTCCAGGTGCATCACCAGAAGGGTCGTTCATCTGAATACAGAATGCAGATACCAGGGTAGAGTACAAGGACAGTGCCCAAACTTGTTGGCTGAAAGGGTCTCCCCACAGAAAAGCCCCCAGGGATGCAGAGGATCTTCCCAGGAGAGTTTCAGGAGCTGCCTGGACAAAGCCATGACCACCCTGACCTGGAACTGATCCTTCCCTGGCTGCCTTCCACCAGCACTGCTGTAAATAGGGACAGCTCCAGACCCCCTAAATCTCTTCTGACCTCTGAAAGAGATAGAACTGGGGGCCACAGGGAGAGGAAAACATATTTCATGTCTGGATTTAGGATTCTTGTGGGGTCTGACAGCTAAACAACTGTAAATGTTTAATAAGCTCCAATAATGTGTACCAATTTTGTATGCAATCTCTTTAATTCTTCAGAGAATCAAAAACCAGATAATTTTGCCTCTCTTTAAAATCAGTAGGAGAGGATGAATTATTCATTTCCAAGCAGCTGCAATCAGCCTGAGAGATCCCCATCCGGAGGAGCTCAAAGCAGTCACAACACTGAGTCAGGAAAAAGAGAGAGCCCTGAGAGAACATCCCTGGGAATCAAATCCCTGGAGATATCCCCGATGCTCTGTCCTAATAACTCCCCCAGCCACCCCACTAACAGTGGTTTTGGTTTTTTTGGGTTTTTTTTTCAGTAGTACTGAACGTGCTCAAGCAAGCCAAGTTGAATTGCACAGTGAAAGATTTACCCTCCAAACCGTGAACATCTGACCCTAAAAGAGAGGTTTTTAGGAAACTGCAGGTTCCCAGGGGAGAGGAAGTGTTGAAAGGCAGAATTAGGGTATCTGGAGGGTCCCCTGTGCCCAGAGCAGGTCCCCGTGCAAAACACCTCGTGTTTATTTGGCTGTCACCGGTGAGAATAGGATTTTGAATTTAGGGGGCTATTTTTGGGGATTTTCATGATATTTTGTGTCTAGCAATCTCTCTGGAGAGGAGCCCTTGGTTCCCTTTGCTCTATAGCAGCATCGTGGCTGTTGGCAGGCAATGACCAGCAGCCCTTCCCTGCTCTCTGACTCTTTTTTGGGACGCTGTGCCTGGATCCAGCAGCCACTAGGTGCCAGTGCTGTTTTACAGGAAAACAAGCTCGAGCCAAAGCCTGGGAAAAAAAATAAAAATCAGGAATTTGGACACTTTGCCAGCTGTTAAATATAGCCCTCGCTCTCCTCGACAGTTGCTCGTCCTTCTCCCGGCCGCTCTCCCTCGGCCCGGAGCCATTTGTGCCCTGCTACGTGCTCGGGAGAAGGGCACAATTCCACCTTTATTTTAGTTCTGTTGTGGTGGGATATAAACTGCCGTGAACTCGGGAATCTCGTGTCCACGGGCTGAGCTCCTCCGARCGCCTGGAGCACGCCACAGCCTCCCTCCTGCACGTCCCATCCCTTCCCGATTTACTGCCAGTGCTAAATTGGGATCTGGCCCCTGGAGCTGGGGGGAGAGGGGAGAATCCTCTGCTGTCTCCAGCCTTTGATGCCGGATTTGGGATTTGTTGGCTCTTCTGGTTGTCTGGGGCATTTTCCAGCCTCCCACAGAGGGTATTTGTGTGCAGCTCTCTGGTTTTAACATCTTCACAACTGGGGTTGTATATACACGAGGTGGGGCTGGGCACCAAGAAATGTCGCTCTTCCAATGTTTATTCCTTAAACAACCCCAAATCTGGATGTGCATGACCCTGTGGATTGCTGGAGCCAGGCCAGGATGAGTGTTTGGGCATGGAGAGGAGTTGGAAGTGTTCAGGGAGAGAGCAGCCCACCCCAAGCATCCCTGAAGGACAGGGCTTGGTGGGCAGGGGCCATCTAAGCACCCCCAGCACTGAAGAAAGGACAGCTGAGAACTGGAATTTTATCCCAGATGAGATTTTGGGGAACACAACCATTTCCAGCCCTTGGAAGAAAGGAAAAACCCTATCATAGCACCACGAGGAGCACCAGGGCCAGGCTGACCCCCAGGCAGTGACCAGCAGGAATTGGTGACCCCTGACTGGCCTGTCACCTTCAAAGGCCAGTTGGTTTGGGGGTTGTTTTTCCAAAAAAAGGGAAATCCATGTGATGAAGAGGTGAGCTGGGAAGTTGAGCTGGGAAAAGGGAGCCATGCAAGCTCCCTTTGAACATGAAYAGTCCCACGGACTGAGGGGGTTTTGGTGGGACACGAGAGTTTCCCTGTGAGATATCCCAGGGTGTGGCCAGCTCCAAACACGGAGCTGTGTCATCCTCAGAGATGTTTTCTTCTCACTCTGCACCTCAGATGAGAGGCCCTGTGCTGCAGAGACCTCCAGGAAAGTGCTGGCTGGAGGGAGGGAGGTGGAAAATGCCGTTTTTGGACCTTCTGCGCTGCCAGCAACCAAAGATGAGGCCATCTGCTGATTTTTCTGGGCATTGACCTCATCACTCACACCTCAAACATGTYTTAGACTTGTTGGTGGTGGGTGGGTTTGGTTTTTGGGTTTTGCTTGCTCTCTGCTGGGAACCCACATCTTTACAAATGGGAAATAATGTTTTCTTTAAGTTGGGCTGTGGRTTTGAGATTCCTCAGAAAGTCATCCTTGCTCTCCAAAACAGACCAGCCAGCTGCTGCCGAGCAAAGAGAATCTCAGCTGCGCGAGAGGAGAACGTTACAGGACAAAAGCAAATTCTCCACTGCCCTGGTTTCAAAGGAAATGAAAGCAGGGCATCAGGAAAAGCTAATGAGGGAAAAAAACCAGAGCTGGCAGAGCTGCTGGAGCCCAGAGYACAGCTGACCTCTTTRTAAGAACAATGTCAAGCTATTTTGGCAAAATCCCTTTTGGAATGGCAGGGAGGCCTTTGGTTAGCAGCAGCAAGGTACCAGAGCTTCATCCCATTTCCTGGGCTCGGGATCTCTCTGGGAAGGGGCAAACCTTTTGCACCAGGAATTGCTGTTTCTCCATCATTTAACTGGGATGGTCTCCCAGGGAGCAGGGTCTCATCTCAAAGCAGATTTACCTGTTGGTGACCAGGCTGTTCTCAGATGGGGCCAAGCCCTCACAGCCCTAAATCATRGATCACCCCATTCACCCTTTGTTTTTGCATGGTGCTGTCTCATTATTGATATGAWGTCCCCAGAAATCTCCACTGGGATCAGGTAATAAATTTATGGTAAATCCAATTCCTGTAGCATTGACAGATAAATAAATACTGACCAAAGAGGTGCTGGGGAAAGAGGCCAACTCTTGATTTTTCCATTTAAAAGTGCAGAAGTACAAAACTGCTGGTTTTCTGTTCTCTGTGCTGGGCGAGGGTCACCAAAGTGCACGTGGAATGCACTCCTGAACAGCTTGTGACACTGCCAGTGTGACCTGGGATCGATCCCTCCAGAGCAAAGTGTGCTCCTATTTACCATATAGAAGGACTGAGGCTTGTGTTTAAAAAGTTTTAATGGTATTTCAAAGTCCAGTGAATGTCCTCGGATTACTCAAAATCACAGAGTTGCTTCACAGAATTTCTCCCCGGTTCTAATTTGTAACGGATGATTGAGATGCCATTTTCCCCTTCATTCCCTTCAAACACACACGATTGTCCTCCAGTAAATGGAAACTGTGATTTTTAGCTACACTTCATAGTGTTAAAACTCTATACAAACCTTGTACTACTCGTACAAAAATAAGTGCTTCATGCACACATTTTTAATACTGCTTCTTGCCCTCTGCTTTGACATCYTCCTGAACTTATATAAATAGCTGAAAAAGCAGACTAAACTTACTGAACGTGGAAAGCGAGAAACACTTCCTGCCAACGCTTTGAGAGACACTCCTGGCTGTGTTCCTCGCTGGCAAACACCACTTAAAGACATAGACAGAACAGAAAAAAAAAAAAAAAAAGCCACGAAATCCGTAACACTCTCGGTTATTTGGCCCCCTGGGACCAGGTTTGTCCTTTGCTGAGAAGCCAAACGTGGCCAGCAGCAGCCACAGAGGGCTTGTAATACCTTTAGGATCACCCTAACGAGCTACTTCGTAAATAAGAGGGGGCTAAAGGGGCCTCAGACCTTACAGCTCATGGGGTTTGTTCCATTCTGGGGCAAATCAAGTCAGGATGGGAAATATTTAATTCCTGTAGTCCACACCTCATCACAGACCCTCATGCTTTTGGGGGATGCACAGGAAAAGCTCCCCTTGGAATGGCTTCTACTCTGCCACATCCCAGCATCTAAAGCAGGTCAAAATTTGGGGCCAGATCTGCTGGGTGTCATCAACCCAGTTCCTCCCAGAATGGGGTTTTTTTTGGTTCTAGACAGAATAAAATAAATTTTCCTTAGCAGGATTGATGACATAGGATTGATGTGTCTGCTGCAGTCACCCAGCACTGAGGTCCTGTTCTGTCTCCACAGCATCACAACTCCTGCCTCTATCCCATGGAAAAAATAAATGGATAATGGCCTCCTGTGGGACACGAAAGGATGCTCCCAGCAACCCCAAAGGGCTCAAACACAACACCAGCTCTGGTGCTCTCCAAAATTAGAGGTGCCTTTACTGCTGGTGTGAACCCTCTTCCACTACATTAATTTTTGCTGGAATCAGAGCAGGCAGCAGCCTTGATTTAATGTGTAAAGCAGTGCTCAGAGCCAGGCAGGGCTCTTTCCAACCTGGGAAAATGTTCTTTGGATATAATTTTATTCCTGTCGAAGTGCCTGCTATTACTGGGCCATGGCTGCGAGCTCTCGTGCTCTAATTAAGAAGAGAATTGGCCTTAATGAATAGCACTTTTCTGCTCCTCAGGCTTAAAAGTTTCCCTATCYTCCAGTGAATGTGCCATTCGATGGAAAATGCACAAAAATACACCATTCTTTGCTGATTTGTGGATATGGCTGGGAAGGAGCAAAGTAAGAGGGAAAACTGCTGAATGCTTGTGGCCTGCTTTAAAAATAAAATTAGCACGGAAACCTGTTCAGAAGTAGCCTGTTAGGCTGGGCAGAAATGCTTGGGAAAAATGACTTTTTGCCTCGGCTGTGCCAGGAAGAATTTCAAAGAGCTTTGAGATGCCCCGTGGTGGTGGCACAGGGGGGATCAGGGACAGAGAGGGGCAGACCCGAGTGGCCAAGGTGCACCACTGCTCTGCCTGGCCTGGGAAACATTGGGCTGGATGTGGGAGAATTCCTGATGCACAGAGGGGTTTGCTGGGGCACCCCATCCTTCCCCAGTCCTGGGTCACAATGGCCACAGGGGCTGTTTTCAGCACAGGTTGTTGTTGCAAGCACACACCCAGTAGGTGTATAAATGTATCTCAATAAAAATATATATGTACACCTGAGAACCTCACATTTCCTGGGCTGAGCTTTTGCTTTCCTGTGTGAAAATCTGATTTTGCATAATTTTTTAAATTTCTCCTTCCCCCGCCTTAATATCCCGTTAAAAAAACTGAAGACCTACAAAACTGAAGCTCCAACTAAAATTAACYTCAGGCCACAGATGAGCTTCAGACCACGAGGGTGTAAGAATTACCAGACTGGGATTTGGTTTTCTTTTCCTTTCTGCTTGTGCTGGGTTTGGAGGGAATTGGGTTAAAAGGCTCCGTAGCCATCGCTCCGAGCGGCCACGGCGAAGGCAGGATAGGCTTCATAGGTGGCATAAGTGGCCAAATCCTGTCCCATTGTCACTGCTTGCTTGAGCTGGGTGGCTGTGACAGTGGCAGCTGCGTTAGCAATGGTGTATCCTGAAGGAAAAAAAAAAAGAGAGAAAACCCACGGATCAATGAAAATCTGTTCCAAATGCACCGTGGCCTGGTAGGTTTTGATGGGGTGACTTTCGATGGGAATGACTCGGGCAACAATGAGTTTGTTGGTGAGAATAACAATAATTACTATTATGGGAATAATGTTAACAAATTAGCTTAATTTCATGGGAAAAGGAAAGCATGTCCTCACACATGATTTGTTAAACACGGTGCTGGAAAAACACCCCTTTCTGTTGAATGCTTTTTCCTGTATGGCATGAGGAGGACAAAGAAACAACCTAAAATAGGGGAAATTGGGGCAGGTTTCAAAGAGAAAATATAGCCTTGATCCCTTCACAGCCAAAATACAGGGAATTCAGGACAGCCACGGTAGGGAAACTCCCTCAATGCAACAKCAAGGAGAAAATATTTAGTGGATGGGATTTTTTTTTTTGTTTTTTTTCCCATCGGTCTCTAATGGAAAAAGTGGTTTCAACACTTCCAGACTTTCCCTGGAAAGATGTTGCTGTTTGAGAATGAATCACTGAGAAAACAGCATCRTTTGGGGCTGGTTCCTCTGGAGGCAGGGCACGGCAGCTTGTCAAACACACACAGTATTTTGTTGTAAAAGGATCAGGAGTCAAGACAAAGCCTAAATTTGGGAAGAGCAGCTGGGATGTCCATCGGATCTGCAGGACCAGGCTCTGCTCCAAGGATCCTGTCTGGCCAGGTGGGGAACAAGATCATCTCAAGGTCAGCCAAACCCCAGTTCCTCCCAGTGGGGCAATGGAAATATTGGGCAACAGGGAGYACACGTTGCCTCACTGGAGGTATCCCTTTGGGGAAAAAAAAAGAGGAATTCCTTACAATTTGAATCTTGTGGCTGTCCAGTCTTTTCTTTGCACCAGCAAAGCCAGGTGCAATGTTTCAAACAGGAATTGGGCAGTTTGGGACTTCAGGCACATCTGCCACCATCGGGAGAGAAATGAGCTGGKCACGGTCTGAGCCAAGCTTTGGCCAGCCCTGCCCAAGAACCGGAGTGTGCTGTGAGCAGCAGCCTCAGTGCACGTCCATTTGCCYGGACACTCCCAAGACAAATAAATAAGGTCGGATGAAAGAGAAGGAGAGATCCTAATGAAGCACTAAGTGGGGGCTGGATTCAATAAAGAGCCCATTTGGTTTCCACGCTGCGGAAGCTGCACAAGCCCAGACAAATTGATTTTCCTGYGGCTTTTGTGGGCTCCTGTGGCAGGAAGCCGGATAGATGTTTAATTTTTTTTGTTTCAAATCCATCCTTGAGACACTCCAAACAACTCAGTAGTACAGACTAATGCGTTCCTCATGTGCAGTCTGGCACGTGGTGCTGCCTCTCCAGCAGAACCGCTGGAGAGCACAGCAAATGCAATCCCTGTGTTTTCCATGACTTCCCAAGCTGTGTGGGGCAGTTGCAAGAGCTGTTGAGTATGAATGCTCAAACTGGGAGGAAAACCTTCCAGTGGGGGTGTGAGAGCTGGGATCAGATCCAAACTGCCGCGGCTGCGTCATTTCTTTGGTGATGAAGTCTAAGTGTTGGTTCAAAAGGAGCTGGGAGTGCTGGGGGGAGATGGAGTGAATTCATCAGCCACGTGTCCTCGCAGCGAGGAGGATCTACTCCACTCTGGTGGCATCAGGGCCAYGGGAGGGACCCATCCCAGATGGGGCACTGGGGATGCCAGCTTTGGATCCTGACCGTTTCTGGGGCTCCCAGCTGAAGGGAGGAATTCAGACTGGGAGGAGTGGAGAGGAAATGTAGAATTGGGATGGGGCTCTGGGCGCTGGGGCTCCCCGTCCTTGGACACTGCTCCAGCTACCCTGGACACAATTCTACCTGTGGCACTGACCTGTGGGGTCGGGGTCAGAGAAGAGCCCCSTCCCCAGCACCCTTAGCCTGAGATGCTCTGGGGTATGGACACAAMAATTTGGGCAGTCCTGGATAGAGAYAAAATCCTTTCCAGGCAATGAACTGGCACAGGGTGCCCAGAGAAGCTGTGGCTGCCCCTGGATCCCTGGAAGTGCCYGAGKYCAGGTTGGATGGGGATTGGAGCACCCTGGGATGGTGTAAGGTGTCCCTGYCCACGGCAGGGGGTGGATTTATCTTTAAGGTCCATTCCACCCCAAACCAGCCTGGAATTCTCTGATGAAGACACACCACATGAGCCACAGCTGGGGAGCACAACCAAACCCAAGCCTGCTTCCTTTTCCCCACCCTCAAGGAAGGAGGCAGCCGGAAAATCGCCATTCCAGGGCCCCCTGGCTGCCCAGCCCTGCCCATACCTGGAAAAGCCGGTGCTGCAGGAGGCACCTCGGCCCCCTCCACGGGAATGCCCAGGGTCTGCAGGGCGAACTCGGCCGCGTACGTCTTGGCCTCGTCGATGTAGGCGCTGAGCTTGGGCGGCGTGAACGGGTGGCTGTGGGGACRGCACGGACTCGGTGGGTTTGGGTTTGGGTTCCCAGGGCTGCCCCTGACCCACCCCGAGCCTGCCCCATCCCACACGGCCCGGGGAGCATCACCTCCCTGGGCAGGGGTGTGAACAGAGCCTCTCTCCCCCAGTGCTCTGCTTCACCAGCTGCACTCACCGACCCCRCTCTCCTTCTGGACACCGTGTCCTTGCAGGGTTTGTTGTGCTTTTGGGATCAAAAAAMMMCCCTGCTGYGTTTTCTCTTTACAACACCCAGTCTGGGTTTTCCTTTACAATACACAACAAGCAGCAGTYTAGGTCAGAAATGTTTGGAATCATATTTAGAGCTGAAGTATCAGCGTGTTCCTTCAAGTTCCTTTGATTTCCACTCAAGGGATATTGTTTGCTTTCTTTTTGTGCAGAAAAAGCACCATTTTGCCTGATTATGCCTGGTTTTCTGTAATGTTTGCACCAGCATAGAGAGCACCAAGCACAGCAGACAGAAGTTAACTATGGTTTGTGGATGGTTTTCTCCCCTTATTTTTTTAAAGTATTTATCTATTGAATCATATAAATATATAATATATATATATAAAATATATCTAATATATATAAATATATATTCAATAAATATTTTCACATATTTTCAAATATTTCAACTATGTCAAATATTCCAAATATTAATAAATGTTTTTCAAAGCAAAACATAATGGAGACCTGTGCGATGGTGACTTTGAGGACAGCTGTTGRCTCAAACACCGTTTAAAAAACAAAGCCTAAGTCTCAGAAACGCTCCAAAAAGTGACGTACATGGTGGGGTTCTGGCTGGCAAGGGCAGGGATGGTGATTTTGTAGAGGAAGAGCTGTCTTTGATCCTGGCCAATGGCAGAATGGAGCTGGTACACAGGCTGGCCCCAGTTGTTTTTCTGGCAGATTTCTTCTAAGATCTAGAAGGGAGAGAAAAAAAAAAAAGGGGATTTGTGCTGGGGTTAATTGCTGTGCACAGAAGCCTCCTCGCCCGGCTCCAGCCTCTGTGCTGAGCAGCTGCCTTCCCTCAAAGGGTTTTCAGGGACTCCTGGCAGCTTCCTCAAAGCTTAGCAAAAAACACTAAATAAATGACAGCCAGGATACTATGCCCACCTTGAAGTGTMGGAGTCATCTGAATGTTTTGTACTTGAAAGACTTGCTTAATTCCTGAAATTATTCCCTGTTCAATTTGCCCTCTGTGTCCTTTTGCTGCTCAGATGATTTCAGTGTGCTTTTCTTTGAATCTGCCTCAGAAGCTGTGTCTCACGGACTCCTATTTCAGAGGACTAAAGAGGCTCGGGTTGCATTCATCCCCTCTGCTCTGCTGCCTCCCCGGCTCGAGGGTTACAGAGCACCAGAAGCCCAAATAGGTTTCCTTTTAAAAAGAAAAAAGGTTGTGTTTCCATCCAATTAATTCCACGGGCTTCAGCAGGCGATTGCAGCTTTTGAAATGCTGAACCACGCTGCCCTCAGCCTGATTCCCTGGTAATTGGGAATTGCTGTCCACAAACGCTCGTGCCTTGGCTTTGGATTCCAGGGTTTTTA